TTTCGCGTGTCGGCCGATCGCGCAAGACCCCCTGTTCCGCGGGTTACCGACCCCCAAAAACCCCAGGGGGGGGGGGGTTTTTTCGACTTGTGATTTTTGGCATTGTCGGCGCTTCGCGAGTCCGCCTAACTGCTGCTTATGACATTCAAAACTATATCAGTATTAGGGGGTTTTGTTTGACGCATTGCGTAGAGACAGTTTAAGACAAACATACCCCTGAAGGTCTACAGTAACCTTAATTCACCAAAAAGTGTCTTTTTGCCTGGCCAAACTTGAGTACGTAAAACCCACTCAGCCTTCCAGGCTACGGACACTCGTTTCCTACTTTTTAAAGTAAACGCTTCCTTACACGCTAGGCATAACTTTTTCCCCAGTTTTATATCAGATGATGTGTCACTCCCTTGAGTATTTCTTTTTCTTTTTTCTTTTTCTTTTTCTTTTTCTTTTTCTTTTTCTTTTTCTTTTTCTTTTTCTTTTTCTTTTTTGCGCCAGAAAAAAGTATATTCTGTATTCAGTGACGATATTCACGACATGCAGCCTCAATAGACTGTTGTTAAATTAGTCAGCGCTTCGTAGGGGACTTCTGTTCTTCCTTGATTATAGACTAAATTATGAGGGTTAAGTAGTTTCAGTGTCAAATGTTCACAAATGCCAACGAAAATAAAAGAATACACAACTGAATTAGGAAAATGTTATATCTCAATGGATTAGGTGAAAACAGGAGTAGGTTGAGACCTCAACTAACAAAATAAATTATGTTTTAAAAACAAAGAACTCGCATAAAACTCTGAGTTCTGAACGTACAACCAAAGTCGCTGCTTCTCTTTTTTATTGGCTTTCTATCTTAGACATTTTCAATAAAGCAAGGCCTTGGTTTAAAACATGTCTAGGTGGCCTGCAAGTGTGCAAATTTGAATGGTCAAGAACCTCAATATTTCAGCACATTCACGGTTCCAACTCAGACAATAGAGAAGAAATCACTGTTGCCCAATTTTTCCAAGTGGAAATAAAATATTGTCTTGCAAACAACCACGCAGTATCTGTTTACAAGGGTTCTTCAAGGATAATAAAGCAATTTTCTATTCTTTTTACATGACTGTGAGCAATTGAAACGACTTTTTTTTTTCAAATTCTGAGATATTCTATATAGCAAATTGGTTGTGCTCATAGGACTGCGAGCGGTCAACGTATTATATACACCTATTTCAAAAAATTAAAAAATAAATAAATAAACTGTTGTCATCGGCAAAGGCGAAAGACAAGGCTAAAAGCGATAGAAGTTAGGCCAATCCAAGATCCTAGAATAGCTGGAATGACTTGTGTTTCTGCTTCTTATTCTCGACAAGAACATGGACCTTCGTGTTGAGACTGATTCAATGTTCTTTGTATTAAAACAAACAAACATTTCCATGTCGTAATGACCTATCGGCGATAGCCTTCAAATCGGCGATGACAACGTTTTTTGAAATAGGCGTATTTCTATGGCGCTCAAAAAATAGCTAAAGTTGAACTTGAAGCACAAAGCTCAACACAATAATATAGTTTTTACTTAATTTTGGTAAATTATCATAAGATAACCTTTTTTGGGAATCGAAACAAGGTTTTTGCATTATTTATTTTGTGTATCTATATTTACTAGCAAAAGGCATGGCTATAACGCCGCTGAAAAATTTATAGTGACTAAGGTTCCTTTTTCTAACCTTGAATGAATAACCTATATCATTCACACAGAATTAATGCTCTCCCTACTCGAAAGGTTGCCCAGTCTGATGATCTGAAGCTTTGTCGTTATCATGTCCTTATCTGGAGACGCTTGACTATAACGCCGCTGAAAAATTTATAGTGAGTAAGGTTCCTTTTTAAAACCTTGAATGAATAACCTATTTCATTCACACATAATTAATGCTCTCCCTACTCGAAAGGTTGCCCAGTCTGATGATCTGAAGCTTTGTCGTTATCATGTCCTTATCTGGAGACGCTTGACTGTCTCTTTTGTCCACACGGTGGCAGGGCCAGTCTCTCAAAAGGCGTTTTACTGTCTTTTTGAACCCAGAGCTCATCGATGCGTAAACTAGAGGGTTATAAATCACTGAAGCTTTGGCCATCAATTCGGGGATTTCAGCTTCACCTTTACTGAGGATATTAGTACTCTTAAAGATAGCTACGATGCTGACGATGCAATATGGCGACCAACTGACGACGAATGCCAACACTACTATTCCTATCATACGAGCTACTTTCAACTTGGAATGGCGTCTTCGTTGTAATAGGGCTTTTTGTTGTGCTAACATAGCATTGAGAGTCAGGGAACTGCAGGAAAAAAAGATAGCCGTCAAAGTTAACTAACGTAGTAACTAGATGTGTGTAGTGAATATTTAAACGACATAGCTTGAAACATAAACCTTTTGAAAATTATCATGAGTGACCACGAAACGATAGCTCCAAGTAACATTTAATATTTACTGTTATTCTATCATAGTTCATCCTTTATTTGAAGCCATTGTTTTGGTTTAACCCGAGCGAATTTGCAAAAGGTTCATAAACTGCTGTCCCGTAAGCTGACAATTGCTTTTTACCTCTTCCCTAAATGGATCGTGTACATGTATACACCTAGCTATTTCAATAAACGTTGTCAGCGCCATAATCGATAGGCAATAGGCGATAGACGAAAAGCGATAAAAGAGAGGTCATTCCAAGATCCAAGAAAAGCTGGAATGGCTTGTGTTTCTACTTCTTATTCTCGTCAAGAATCTGATTCGATGTYCTTTGTATTCAACAAAACCATTTCCATGTCGGAATGACCTTTCGCCTTTCGCCGGATATATGGTATACACTCTATTATGACATTGTCTTTTTTCTTTTGATTTTTCGTTGGTTCGTTCGTTTGTTTTTTCGAGTTCTATTTTTTTAATCTTGTCATCTAAGTCCTTTGTATTTTTAAACATAATATGCGTTTCATTAAAACTATTATGATATTATTAACACTATTATAAACGTAAGTGGGCATTGTATTCGATAAGTTCCGGATACAAAATGTTCTCCGTCCACACTAATACGGCTAGCCGGCGTTTTCAAATTGTTCCACTCTGGAGACCGTATTCGAAAAAAATCGTTTTCGGTGAAGAATTGTTCCGGATTCGCCCGGACTAGTGTGGACGGGGCCTAAGGAATGTACGAAGTACTATACGGAACAATACAAATTGATTTAAATGCTATGGTCGTTTTTGGTTGAATAGCTGAGAAAAGAGAACTCAAAACTGGAGTATTAAATTCCCAGTATGATGTCACATCATCATCATCATCATTTTCCCCCTTTTCGGAGTACTAGCATCCTTGGGGAGCTTCTGTCTGCAGCACTTGCTGTAGCAGTCGCTTATACTTCTACTTCGTCATACTTCCCCTAATTTGTGTGGAGTCCATTTGTAGAATTCTTTCAAATCTATTCCATAAACCTCTTATAAGTCAAAATTGTTAACGCAAAACTGAAATTGAAGAAATATTTTTTCAGATTGTTTTACTCTTATTCGTATTCAAAAAGTTCCGTTTTCGGTGAAGAATTGTTCCGGATTCGTCCGGATTAGCGTTGACGGAAGGCCTAACCGGATAAATAGAGTTGCGGATTCAAATTTATCCGGCATAGTGTGAACGGGGCCTAAGACTGAACAAAAGAGAATTCTGGAGTATTTCCTACACATGTCTGGATGTAATTTCCTGAGGATGCGACCGATTCGGAAAAAAAGTCTGTCTGGAATATTGAAATTGTCAGACAAATTCTTAATTTCGTATGGCACATATAAAATTATCATCCTTTTTTTTTTATGAACTTAAGTCTGGCTTTAGATTTTAGAGGGATTCGAAGCGACTCTGTACTAGGCCAGTAAAGAATAATATGTTTTCTTCAATAATATCCAATTCAACTTCATCTGACTTCACTATGTGGCTGGCCAGTTGGCTGACTATATGCTAGCATGCATGTTTAGACAGATAAAACAGATCGATCAGTAGTTCCCCCCACCCCCCTCCCCAAACAATGAAGAGACTTCTTGCACTTACTATTGTGATCTTATATTTGAAATGTTTTAACTGCGTTTTTTTATTCATCGCTATATATCTAACCATTCGCCTTGAGAAGCTTTAAAGATTATAACAAATTACTGTTCTAGCAAGACCATCTCTCCTACTTTTATAGCTCGCAGGGAGCTGCTGGAAAGGTAGATCAACATGCAACCTTACCTGTAGATTTTGTAGTAGCTAATAAGGATGATTGTCATGGGTAGAAAAAACCCTACGATCAGCAGTGCAATGTTGTAGGTCAATGCCTCGAAAGTATTGGAACCCCACTCAGGACCACAGCTGATCCCTGCTGAACCTGGAACAAATCTACTCCAGCCAAGCAATGGAGGACTCATGGACAAAATCCCATAAATCCACGCTCCAGATAAAGCCAGGGTCTTAAACGTTTTTGAAGTAAATTCCGATCTGTAAAGATGTGGTTTCATGGAGGTGATGTTATAACAAATTAATACGCTTATTTCAGTCAACATTACAATAGATGCAATGCCTATTGCACCGTTAACAAATGCCGACCAGGTACATCTCGATTGACCTGTGGTGATTTTTCTGCAGGACAAATTCGCGGTAATAGCGACGGGGTATCCAAACACTACGATAAAAAGATCTGCAACAGCCAGGTTGATGACGAACGGTGCGATGGCTTTAGATCTCTGTTCTCGTTGTAGAAATACGATGATTGTTAAAACGTTCCCCAAAATCCCAACAGATAGAACAAAGAACATAAAGCCTCCATAAACCCACTTGCCATCGCAATCTGTGACTTCTACTTCAGTTTTTCCAGTTAAAGCGAAAACTGACGAACTGTTATTTGTGGTAAAACGATCTACCATTTTCGTTCCTGTCAGAAAAATATATGCTTATTTTCTCTCCAGTTGTTGCTGATAAGCTGCTGCTGCTGAACTCTGGTTTCTTTACCTTATTGAAAGAGATATATTTGGTTCATTTACAATTTTTCCAGACAAAAACAATAATGAAACGTTCTCTTGAATGAAGTGCGGCTCACTATCTCCAAATACTGCCGGAAAATCTATCTTCAATTCTTCAATCGTGAAGAGGCTTTTGAATATCAGTCGTTCGTAATCTAGTCTTCAGGTGAGTGTTTGTCGGGGATGCAGATGACGTTATCTTGGTGTTTTTGATCATTTGGTTGCCAACGTCGTTGTCTACAGATAAAAAAACAATTAAAAATAAAATGTCTTGAAATGAATTGATTAATGAAATAATTACAAATATATACATGTATGCTGAAAATATTGATTACCTATATATATGAAGTCTTTTTCTACTTTAACTGGTTTCAATTTTTTATTAAAAAAAAAAAAAAAAAATCAAAATAAGATTGCTCAATATTTTGTAGGTGTTTGACAATATGTCATTGCAATAAACCACGTACTTTTTTGGGTATTCCAGAACCTTTTACGGCTAGACTATTGACGAAATAACCAATCAGAATTGAACATTTTAAAGAAAAGGTATATAGCTTTGTCATTGAACTATCCTACATCACAATGCCTTCAGCATTATTAACTCACGTTTCAATGTTTTTTGCTTATTTCATTTGCTTTTTTTTTTTTTAATATCTAGCTTAAACAAAGCAGAGATAAAAAAATTCATAAAGATGAAGGAAAATTTGATCATTTTTTGTAAACAATTTCAATATTATGACTTTATCAGTGCATTTAGTTCTGTTGTTTGGACTTTGATAATTAAGGAATACAAAAATAAAAACTATTTATTGGAGTACAGTCTCAATATGTTGAAAGAAAACAGAATATTATTTCAAAGTTGCTAGGAGAAAGAACCCCCAAGGTTTTGTCTTGGAGTCTTTGTGCTCGCTCAGTTGTGCTGGAAACTGGTTGAAAATATAACGATTAATTGTTATCTCATTTACATTTTTTTAAAAAGAATTAATTCGATTTAAAAATGCAATGAATGCTATGTTTCGCCAAATAATAACCCATGATAAAAAAGAAGAAATAGAGAGGGAAAGAGTTAAGAGAATCATAAAAAATGCGAAATACTCGGCACATGATGAGATTCAGCAATATGTCATGCGCGCTCGCTTCTCGTCTCTAAGGTCTCGGAAGTAATACTCTCCACTGTTTCGAGTTCTCTGTCGCTCAGAGATAGCCTGTACTTTGTGCAAAATATTAATGTGTTCCAGTAGGTAAAGGTCGGCGTGCATAGTCCTGACCATAATATTATTTATTAACCAGAGTAATGAAATATCAGTCAACTGTAAACGCTTAATTTTAGGTTATTTTTTCAGTGAAAGTTTTGTTCCGCTTTTTTTTTTTTTTTTTTTGATTCGAAATTTTCACAATGAAAATCAATTAAAAATGTGTTGAATGAATGCAAATGTTATAAAATTAATTCTAGTGATTCTATTCTTTCCAACACAGACTTTTCAAAAGCTA